TAACGTTCTCTAGTCTCGCCAGCCAGCACTCTGCTTTTAGCCTGTGATTATGTATAAATTGCAACGGCCTGTCTTTAGAAAAATCAAAGACAAAGTGATTTCCTTTTCTTCTATTTTCTTTCTGAGAGAGGATGGAGTGGTGGTGTTGGAGAGTGGTGGTTATTATTTTCTGGCGAGTCGGCCTGTTAGAAACACAGCAGTGTAATCTGGAGGGAGATTTAGACACAGGCATACTCACATTGCAACATACACTTAATCTCTGCTCTCACTCCCTGGTCTCTTAATTCAATTCAGTAGACTTTATTGACATTACATTGTCAAAGTGTACATATAACCAAAAAATGGTGGGACCAACAGCAATAATAATAGTGGTGGAAATGGGATTACCATTAAGTCTCTCTCTCTATCTCTCTCTCGCTCTCTCTCTCTCTCTGTGGTCTTACGCTCTCTCTCTCTCTGGTCTCTCTCGCTGCTCTCTCTCTCTCTGTAGCTCAATTGGTAGAGCATGGCGCTTGTAACGCAAGGGTAGTGGGTTCGATCCCCGGGACCACCCATACGTAAAAATGTATGCACACATGACTGTAAGTCGCTTTGGATAAAAGCGTCTGCTAAATGGCATATTATTTATTATTATTATGGTCCCTCTCAAATAATTCAAATTCAGATTTCTTTATTGGCATGAAATACCCTTTGTAGATATTGCCAAAGCAGCATAGTGGTACAGCATTTCAGTAAATACAGTACAATGCAATGAGGATAATGAAATAAAGTTAATTTCAGTAGTAATAATAATAGTACATACACTACATGACCAGAGGTTTGTGGACACCTGCTCGTCGAACATCTCATTCCAAAATCATGGGCATTAATATGAAGTTGGTGCCCCCTTTGCTGCTATAACAGCTTCCACTCTTCTGGGAAGGCTTTCCACTAGATGTTGGAACATTGCTGCGGAGACTTGCTTCAATTCATCCACAAGCATTATTGAGGTCGGGCACTGATGTTTGGCCGATTAGGCCAGGCTCGCAGTCGCCGTTCCAATTCATCCCAAAGGTGTTCGATTGGGTTGAGGTCAGGGCTCTGTGCATGCCATTCAAGTTCTTCCACACTGGTCTCGACAAACCATTTCTGCATGGACCTCGCTTTGTGCATGGGGGCAATGTCATGCTGAAACAGGAAAGGGCCTTCCCCAAACTGTTGCCACAAAGTTGGAAGCACAGAATCGTCTAGAATGTCATTGTATGCTGTAGCGTTAAGAATTCCCTCCACTGGAGCTAAGGGGCCTAGCCCGAACTATGAAAAACAGCCCCTATGGTCTCTCGCTCTCTCTCTATGGTCTCTCTGGTCTTTCTCTATGGTATCTGGTCTCTCTCTCTCTCTCTCTCTCTGGTCCGTCTCGCTCTCTCTCTCTGCTCTCTCTCTCTCTATGGTCTCTCTCTATGTTTTCTGTCTCTATGGTTTCTCTCTCTGTTCTCTCTCTGCTCTTTGGTCTCTCTCTCTCTGGTCTCTCTCTCTCTCAATTGTCTCTCTATGGTCTCTCTCTCTCTCTCTATGGTTGGTCTCGCTCTCTATGGTCGGTCTCTCTCTCTCTATGGTCTCTCTGGTCTTTCTCTATGGTCTCTGGTCTCTCTCTCTCTCTCTCTCTGGTCTCTCTCTGCTCTCTCTCTCTATGTTTTCTCTATGTTTTCTGTCTCTGTGGTCTCTCTCTGCTCTCTGGTCTCTCTCGCTCTGGTCTCTCTCTCTCTGGTCTCTCTACGGTCTCTCTCTGGTTTCTCTCTCCCTCTCTCGCTGATCTTTCTCTCCCTCTTTCTCTGGTCTCTCTCTCTCTTGTCTCCCTTCTGTTACAGACTAGCATGGACTCTGAGGCTTGTTATCTCTGTCTATGGTCTTTCTCTCTCTATGGTCTTTCTCTATGGTCTCTCTCTCTTTCTATGGTTGGTCTCTCTCACTATGGTCGGTCTCTCTCTCTATGGTCTCTCTCCCTCTGGTCTTTCTCTATGGTATCTGGTCTCTCTCTCTCTCTGGTCCGTCTCTCTCTCTCTCTCTCTATGGTCTCTCTCTCTCTATGGTCTCTCTCTCTCTCTCTATAGTCTCTCTCTCTCTCTATGGTCTCTCTGGTCTCTGCTCTCTCTCTCTCTATGGTCTCTCTCTATGTTTTCTGTCTCTATTGTCTCTCTCTATGGTCTCTCTCTGCTCTTTGGTCTCTCTCTCTCAATGGTCTCTCTCTTGTCTCTATGGTCTCTCGCTCTCTCTCTATGGTCGGTCTCTCTCTCTATGGTCTCTCTCTATGGTCTCTATGTTTTCTGTCTCTGTGGTCTCTGCTCTGGTCTCTCTCTGCTCTCTCTCGCTCTGGTATCTCTCTCTCTGGTCTCTATGGTCTCTCTCTATGGTCTCTCTCTGGTTTCTCTCTCCCTCTCTCTCGCTGATCTCTCTCTCCCTCTTTCTCTGGTCTCTCTCTCTTGTCTCCCTTCTGTTACAGACTAGCATGGACTCCCTCTGAGGCTTGTTCTCTCTGTCTGTGTCTGAGCTCACCCCCCCCCTCCCATTGTCCTTGGCATTAATGGGGAGGTTCCATGTATTTGAACTAGTACACCTGTTTAAACTTTTCAACTAATTATCAAGCCCTCAATTAGGTCAATCAGTTAGTTCAGGGCTACAACAAAATTGTGAAATGTTTGGGGGTCCACTGGGCAGTGTTGTACCACTCTATTTTCTATAACTGTCTGGCTGGCTGGCTTGTGAAGGCTCATCTGTGGTATCTGACTTTTCCTCATTGCAATTTGGCAGTTGGTGCTAAGGAGTTATTTTAAGCTTTTCAATTTGATTTTCTTGTTGCAGGGAGTTTTTTTCTTCTTCACTTCGTCAGCCAGAGTTGAGTCATGTCACCACCTCCCTCCCTCCTTCCCTCCTGCGGCAGTAATGACACCTCAGTCCATGTCAGTCGCTATTCCTCTGTGGAGCGGTGTCACTCTCGACAAACGTGCCCTTACTTTACACCTTGTCACCAATCAGAAAGCCGGAGGCCATTTTCTGTCACACACACAGTACGTACCGGCTGTTGGTCCTCTCTATCCACCCGGTACAGCCCGGTTCACAGGCAGTACTAGCCCCTTTGCATTGTGGTGGCCAGGCGCCCGCATGCACAGACACACACACTTAGAGAGAGATCACACTCTTCTAGCTTGTCGATACGTTTCCACCCGTAGCTATTTTTCTCATCTTTGTTTTTTTTGTCTGTCACATTGGAAACAGGAAAAGCAGCCAGAAACGGACTGTGTGATTTGTTTCTTGTTATTTTAAAAGTTGTTGGTGATGAGCCAGTGGAGCTTTCAAACTGTTGACAGGCGTTCATTTGTGAGACCTACACACACACACAGGGCGGGTGGTTGAGGGTCTGTAGTCATGCTGGGGCCGCTCCCATCTAAGGGACTGAAAATAGCCTATGGAGCAGATGGTTCAGTTTTGAACTGATACACAGCCAACGAGCCAGGACACTTCAATTGTAACTAACCTCAACTAGAAAAAATTATGTATAATCTCTCTTGTACTTTCATGTAGCTAGGCTATTTTTGCTTTGATCACATCAGATTTTTTTGTGCGCTGTTATTCATCTGTGATGCCACTCTCGCAGTCGGCAAATGCGAGTACATTATTTTATTTTTTTCCGATTGGAAATATTAAAGCTATTTGCAATTGCTTAATATTAAGAGTACAGTAATAATTCTGGCATTGTTGTAAAGCTCAGATTCTCCCCCTTTTAAAGGAATAACTGTTATCTACCCCATCCCAAGGTTGTGATTGGGAGAAAAGAGCTGTATGCCTAAATTGTTTAACCTGTAGCCAAGGCTTTGAAGCCTATATGGTAAATCACGGCTGGCATCGGTTACAATCTGCCACAATAGTAATGTGCCAGCTATATGAGGGGATATTAGGTCTAGTTGGACAAGGCTATCTGAATGTGCACATGATGGAAGTTAGGTAAATATGAATTATACTGAACAAAAATATAAACACAACATGCAACAATTTCAAAGATTTTACTGAGTTACAGTTCATGTAAGGAAATCAGTCAATTGAAATAAATTAATTAGGCCCTAATCTATAGATACCTTTAAAGAAAAAGGTAGGGGCATGGATCAGAAAACCAGTCAGTATCTGGTGTGACCACCATTTGCCTCATGCAGCACGACACATCTCCTTCGCACAGAGTTGATCAGGCTGTTGATTGTGGCCTGTGGAATATTGTCCCACTCCTCTTCAATGGCTGTGCGAAGTTGCTTTATATTGGTGGGAACTGAAACACGCTGTCGTACATGTCGATCCAGAGCATCCCAAACATGTTCAATGGGTGACATGTCTGGTCAGTATGCAGGCCATGGAAGAACTGGGACATTCTCAGCTTCCAGGAATTGTGTACAGATCTTTGCGACATGGGGCCGGCTGTGCATTATCATGCTGAAACATGAGGTGATGGCGGCGGATAAATGGCATGACAATGGGCCTCAGGATCTCATCACGGTGTCTCTGTGCATTCAAATAGCCATAGAAAAAATGCAATCGTGTTTGTTTTATGTAGCTTATGTCAGGTGGATCGATTATCTTGGCAAACGAGAAATGCTCACTAACAGGGATGTAAACAAATTTGTGCACAAAATTGGAGAGAAATAAGCTTTTTGTGCATATGGAAAATCTCTTGGATATTTTATTTCAGCTCATGAAACATGGGACCAACATGTTGCGTTTTTGTTTAGTATATTTAATGAGAAAAAATTAACTGACTAAAATGACTGACTAAAAGTTTTAGTCGACTGATAACTAAAACTAACGAAGGATGAGATGGCAAAACTGAATAAGACAAAAAATGTGATATAGCTGCCAAAATTAACACGCGTGTGTGTTTGTCCATCATGCTCCAGTGCTCTAATCAGGATCTCTTAGCAGGGGCCACCGTGTTTGTGTGATGGTGTAAATGTCCTTGTGTGTGTTTCTCTGTGCGTTCCATGGGCCTTACTGGGTCTCCCATGGTGTGTGGGATGAGATACTGTATCTGTCCCCCACAGGAGACCAGAGGGGAGAAGTCTGTGTATGGTGACACACACCACACCACACACATGCAGGGGTGGGTTTCTGTCAACACAGCCGGAGGTCTTCTCCAAGGGGATTGAGTAACTATCTATAGAGTAACTTCACAGACAGACAGACAGACACCTCCACATCTGTGTTATTTTATCTGGTCTATCTGCTATGCTACTGCATTCCTCCTGCCTGTGGTCTGAACCGTCTAACCCAGGGGTGTCAAACATACGGCCCGCGGGCCGGATCAGGCCCGCAAACGGGTTTAATCCGGCCCGCGAGATGATAAAAAAAAAAAAAAAGTTATTTTTATTTTTTTATATAAAAATGCGCTGCAATTTTTCAATAAAATAAACTGCTGTTCCAATTGCGTCCCACTGGATGGATCCAAACTGTTAATTTCATCCGATCCAGAAGCCTGAATCACCGTCAGTTTGACAGCCTTCTCAGAGAGAAAGACCACATCTATGGCCTGCCATACCACACTGAGGTAAGATGGTTAAGCCGAGGTGCTGTGCTGAGGCGTTTCTTTGATTTACGAGAAGAAATTGAACAGTTCATGGAAGAAAAGGGCAAACCAGTGTTAGAATTTCATTCCGCAGAATGGATGCCGGACCTTGCATTTATGGTGGATGTTACAGAGCACCTGATTAACTTGAACAAACAGCTGCAAGGGCGCAACAAAGTTGTCACGCAGTATTATGACAGCATACGTTCTTTCAAGTTGAAGCTGTCATTGTGGGAGACGCAACTTGCCGGTGGTGATGCAGCTCACTTCCCCTGTCTGAAAAATGTGTGCGTGACCCAACATGTGGCAGACATGAAGCGGTTCAAAGATAAAATAACTGGACTGTTACGGGAGTTTGAGCAACGCTTTCAGATTTATGTTTATATGTTTTTATGTTGATGTGCTATTGTTTTTAATCGATTTTATTTTATTTGTATATTTAACCTATTCTTGACTCTGTGGTTCTTGCACTTGTTTGACACCCTGATATAGTTCTGTGATCTGTGAAACAGTTCTGTTAATCACTGAGGCATTGTGTGTTTGTGTGTTCTTTTTCTTTAGAATTTTCAAATAAACTTGACGTGTTTTATGATTAATAGTGATGTTGTGCTTGTACTATTTTGGACACACTGTCCTCAGGCTCCAGCTTTATGTTGTATGTTGATCATATTAAAACAAAGAAAACAATCTGAAGTTGTTGTTTTTAAGTTATATATACCATGATTTTTCCGGTCCGGCCCACTTGGGAATAGATTTTCCTCCATGTGGCCCCTGAGCTAAAATGAGTTTGACACCCCTGGTCTAACCCCTCCAACTTTACCAGCATCATACTAGCATACATACCAGTGAAATCTCTGTGACATATGAATTACGAGTGGTAGTGTAATCACTACGTTAAAAAATAATGTATGTGTTCAATTATTAAGTCCTATTCAAGTCCAGATTGGTCAATTAGTCTTATTTGACGCGTCAGATAACAAGACGAGTACTGACCATAACGGCGTTCGATACCTACTTACCTACCCTAGGCTGCCTTGCCTGGAGGATGGAGCCTGGGTAGTTGTGTGTAGATTGTTTTTCCATGGTGGGGGATGTGAAGTCAGAAAGAGGGAGGGAGAGAGCGAGAGAAATGCACATTCCAGGTTTTATCTGTCCTCTGGAGCTACACCACCACCGCCGCCATGCATTATTCATCTACCATGTTAATGCAAGCCTTAAACTGCGCCAGCACCTGCCCTGGAGACCTAAAACTCACGCTGCGCTCTCTCTCCCTCTCTCCACCCCCCACCCCCTCTCCTCCCTATCTCTCGCTCTCTCTGTCCACCCTCCTCCCTCCCCCTCTCAGGGACATTTCGTTGTACGTTCTGTCAGACGGAGGTAGAGGAGGATGAGTCTGCGGTGCCCAAGAAGGACGCCAGGACCCTGGTGGCCCGTTTCAACGAACAGATCGAGCCCATATATGTGCTACTGCGCGAGACAGAGGACGTCCACCTATCAAACGACCTGCTGGAACCAGAGCCCGCCGAGATCCCCGCCCTCAAACAGAGGTCGGCCCCACCCCCCCTTCACTTCCAATCAGTGTTCACGTTTATGAGTCCCACTGTAAATTGTTCCTGTCACCGCTCAGCTAGTCCTGTACACCAGAGCATTATATTTAGAGAGTTAGGACATTGAGGTTTCTGCATCATCATGCATTTACATGACACCACAAAATTCTATAGCAGCCATGTTACCGCCCCATTAACATTACATGGGGAATATTTAAACAATGCTATGTAACTGAATGTCTAGAATTAGCACGATATTTAAAATTCAAAAAGTTGGCCTAACTTTCTAAATATATGGCTCTCCTGTAAACTGTGCTGTAACAGCTCTGCTTAACCTGTAAACAGTGACATATTCACAGATTGAGCCCTTGTGTCTGTTGTCATTAGTGGAATGTAATATAGTTTACTGCTCTGTCTTCACGTTCACATATCACACTGTAAGCTACATTGCTAACTTATCTCTCTCTCCTCTCCGTCCCGCCCTGTAGTCGGGACCGTGCAGCAGCGGCGGCGGGTGCAGCAGCTGGCGGTCCCCACCGGGAGGCCTGGTCCACCAAGAGCTCGTCGTACGCCGACCTGTACACCCAGAACGTGGAGATCAGCATGGGGGAGCAGGGGGAGCAGCAGCGCAGGCAGGCCAGCGAGGGCAAGGCACCTAGGGAGAGACCCGTGTGGCTGACAGAGAGCACTGTGCATGGAGGAACATACAGCGAGCCAGACCCACTCAAGAACTGTGAGTTACTAAGTACTGCTGTTTTTCTCTCTCGCTCTCTCTCTCTCACTCTCACTGTCTCTCTCTCACACTCTCTCTCTCTCTCACACTCTCTCTCTCACTCTCTCTCTCTCTCTCTCACACTCTCTCTCTCACACTCTCTCTCTCTCCTCTCTCTCTCTCTCTCTCTCTCTCTCTCTCTCTCCTCTCTCTCTCTCTCTCTCCTCTCTCTCCTCTCTCTCTCTCTCTCGCTCTCTCTCTCTCTCTCTCTCTCTCTCTCTCTCTCTCTCTCTCTCTCACACTCTCACACTCTCACACTCTCACACTCTCTCTGTCTCTCTCACACTCTCACTGTCTCTCTCTCTCTGTCTCTCTGTCTCTCTCACTGTCTCTCTCTCTCACTGTCTCTCTCTCTCTCATACTGTCCACTCAGCATAGCTAGCTACTACATAGCCAGTGCTGGAGTAGGCTTTCCTCAGCGATTTCAGTGCCAACACTATTTTAATTCCATAATTTTGAATTTGTATTAGGATATTGAATGTAATATTTTTGAATTTGTAATGCACAAATGTAAATCATTGAATTCATAAATCAAACTTGTATTTCATGATTTGAAAATGAATCGAATGAATATTGCATTCAGTTTTAAATTCAAATTCAATATTTATATATACAGTTACAATATGGTAGATATTTCATTCATTGCCAAGTTTATCAAAGTTTCATATATTCAACTTCTCCGATGCATTAAATGTACATTAAAAACCAGAGACAACATCCTGGTACTTTGCCAGCCAGGAAAGATAGAGGAGAACGGTTTCTGAAGCCAATGTGGCATGTTGAATTTATTTTCTTCCAATTAATTTGGCTCTTGCGTTTGAACCAATTTGGCTATGAGCTAGTATGAAAGCTAAGACTCTCTGGAGCATGGATGTGCCTTCTATTCCCCTCTATGATGATCACAGGCCGCGTTAGAAGGGAGTGTCACAAAAAAACGTTAGAGTGCAACTGAGGTGGTTTGGTGATCCATCCATGTGATGAGTAGCCTCATAATTACATGACTGATTACCGCTTGTAGCGAACCATTCATGTAAGCTCGGGGGATCAGGCCGGTAGCGAGGTTATGTGACGCGCAACCTTGGCTGAAGACGTGTTAGTTTAACTGATGGTGTTCTAACCCTGGTTTCTTTTGCACCAGACAATGCAACTTTTCAGGTCTCAGACAAGTTACTCTCAAACGAGCGTGGTCACCGAACCACCTGTGTTACACTTTACTCCCCTTTGACCTCATCCTTGAAGAGACCCATCCAAGACACAGGACCAATGCCTAGGCTTTAGCTCAACATGCTAACACAGTCTTAACCCAGTCAGTCACATTAACCTTATAATGACTACCCTTGCCGGAGACTTGAAACCAGGGGTGGACTGCGACCGAAAATCGGCCCTGGCATTTCTAACACACCGGGCCATTCTTTTCCCTGAGGCCCCCACACTGGCCCCTTCTTTTCCTCCAGGCCCCCCACACTGGCCCCTTCTTTTCCTCCAGGCCCCCACACTGGCCCATTATTTTCCTTGAGGCCCCCAGTATTAGCCAGAGAATGATAATTTTGCGCAAGAAACCTAAGTTACAAATAATGGATGGGCATTTGCCCAGATAACCAGTCCGCCCCTGCTTAAAACTAGACTATGTCTCAAAAAGACGAACACATGTCAAACTAACACATCACAGGTCTCAAGCAAGGTTCTCATCACATAAGCATGGATCACCAAACCATGCGAGTAACTGCTGGATCTTGAAGACTTGTATTATTGTAGCAGATGGGGAAATGTAAAACTCACTCCTCAGCCTGAAGTGTGGCCCCTTGCGCAATTGAAGAAGGTTTTTTTTTTTATAGCACGATGGGTTGGAATGCTTCAGGAGGGCGGTCACGTGTGTTTTCGAGGCAGAAGTCCTGAGTTCGAGTCTCAATATGAGCTGAATCGGGGAAAGCGTATCCCTATAGGCATTATCTAAGTGGGCTAACACAGTCTTGTGACATGCAGGAGACCTGGTTTGAACCCAGTCAGTCACAAGAGCAAGAATAAATAGGGAGTGGAAAGGCTATCCTTAGAAGGGCTATGACATGGCTATTCAACTAATTTTGGTATTTGTGCCACTCCCTTCTAACACAGCTTGTGATCATCAAAGAGGGGAACAGAAGGCACATCCATGCTCCAGAGAGTCTTAGCTTTCAAGAATGGCTTATAGCCAAAACGGTTCAAATGCTAGAGCTGTTCTATCTGTTCTCCTCTACCTTTCCTGGCTGGCAAAGTACCAGGATGTTGTCTCTGGTTTTGAATGTGAATTTAGAGAACTGAGTTTGAGAACTGAATCTGAATACATCTGAGAAGCTGAATATATTAAACTTTAATAAACTTGAAATTATGGTTTGGTAACATGATACACAGACAATGAATGCAATATCTACCATATTGAAACTGAATACAGTGGGGGAAAAAAGTATTTAGTCAGCCACCAATTGTGCAAGTTCTCCCACTTAAAAAGATGAGAGAGATCTGTAATTTCCATCATAGGTACACGTCAACTCTGACAGACAAAATGAGATTTTTTTTCTTCTGAAAATCACATTGTAGGATTTTTAATGAATTTATTTGCAAATTATGGTGGAAAACAAGTATTTGGTCAATAACAAAAGTTACTCAATACTTTGTTATATACCCTTTGTTGGCAATGACACAGGTCAAACGTTTTCTGTAAGTCTTCACAAGGTTTTCACACACTGTTGCTGGTATTTTGGCCCATTCCTCCATGCAGATCTCCTCTAGAGCAGTGATGTTTTGGGGCTGTCGCTGGGCAACACGGACTTTCAACTCCCTCCAAAGATTTTCTATGGGGTTGAGATCTGGAGACTGGCTAGGCCACTCCAGGACCTTGAAATGCTTCTTACGAAGCCACTCCTTCGTTGCCCGGGCGGTGTGTTTGGGATCATTGTCATGCTGAAAGACCCAGCCATGTTTCATCTTCAATGCCCTTGCTGATGGAAGGAGGTTTTCACTCAAAATCTCACGATACATGGCCCCATTCATTCTTTCCTTTACACGGATCAGTCGTCCTGGTCCCTTTGCAGAAAAACAGCCCCAAAGCATGATGTTTCCACCCCCATGCTTCACAGTAGGTATGGTGTTCTTTGGATGCAACTCAGCATTCTTTGTCCTCCAAACACGACGAGTTGAGTTTTTACCAAAGTTATATTTTGGTTTCATCTGACCATATGACATTCTCCCAATCCTCTTCTGGATCATCCAAATGCACTCTAGCAAACTTCAGACGGGCCTGGACATGTACTGGCTTAAGCAGGGGGACACGTCTGGCACTGCAGGATTTGAGTCCCTGGCGGCGTAGTGTGTTACTGATGGTAGGCTTTGTTACTTTGGTCCCAGCTCTCTGCAGGTCATTCACTAGGTCCCCCCGTGTGGTTATGGGAATTTTGCTCACCGTTCTTGTGATCATTTTGACCCCACGGGGTGAGATCTTGCGTGGAGCCCCAGATCGAGGGAGATTATCAGTGGTCTTGTACGTCTTCCATTTCCTAATAATTGCTCCCACAGTTGATTTCTTCAAACCAAGCTGCTTACCTATTGCAGATTCAGTCTTCCCAGCCTGGTGCAGGTCTACAATTTTGTTTCTGGTGTCCTTTGACAGCTCTTTGGTCTTGGCCATAGTGGAGTTTGGAGTGTGACTGTTTGAGGTTGTGGACAGGTGTCTTTTATACTGATAACAAGTTCAAACAGGTGCCATTAATACAGTTAACAAGTGGAGGACAGAGGAGCCTCTTAAAGAAGAAGTTACAGGTCTGTGAGAGCCAGAAATCTTGCTTGTTTGTAGGTGACCAAATACTTATTTTCCACCATAATTTGCAAATAAATTCATTAAAAATCCTACAATGTGATTTTCTGGATTATTTTTTCTCAATTTGTCTGTCATAGTTGACGTGTACCTATGATGAAAATTACAGGCCTCTCATCTTTTTAAGTGGGAGAACTTGCACAATTGGTGGCTGACTAAATACTTTTTTCCCCACTGTATATACAGTACGAGTCAGAAGTTTGGACACACCAACTCATTCAAGGGTTTTTCTTTATGTTTGCTATTTTCTACATTGTAGAATAATAGTGAAGACATCAAAACTATGAAATAAAACATATGGAATCATGTAGTAACCTATATTTGATATTCTTCAAATAGCCACCCTTTGCCTTGATGACAGCTTTGCACACTCTTGGCATTCTCTCAACCAGCTTCACCTGGAATGCTTTTCCAGGTGGAAGGAGTTCCCAGATATGCTGAGCACTTGTTGGCTGCTTTTCCTTCACTCTGCGGTCCGACTCATCCCAAACCATCTCAATTAGGTTGAGGTCTTGTGATTGTGGAGGCCAGGTCATCTGATGTAGCACTCCATCACTGTCCTTCTTGGTAAAATAGCCCTTACACAGCCTGGAGGTGTGTTGGGTCATTGTCCTGTTGAAAAACAAATGATAGTCCCACTAAGCCCAAAACAGATGGGATGGCGTATCGCTGCAGAATACTGTGGTAGCCATGTTAATTGTGCCTTGAATTCTAAATAAATCACAGACAGTGTCACCAGCAAAGCACCCCCACACCATAACACCTCCTCCTCCATGCTTTACGTGGGAAATACACATGTGGAGATCATCCGTTCTCCCACACCGCGTCTCAAAGATCTCCAATTTGGACTCCAGACCAAAGAACACATTTCCACCAGTCTAAAGTCCATTGCTCATGTTTCTTGGCCCAAGCAAGTTGTTCTTATCATTGGTGTCCTTTAGTAGTGGTTTCTTTGCAGCAATTCGACCATGAAGGCCTGATTAACACAGTCTCCTCGGTACAGTTGATGTTGAGATGTCTGTTACTTGATCTCTGTGAAGCATTTATTTGGGCTGAAATTTCTGAGGCTGGTAACTCTAATGAACTTATCCTTTGCAGCAGCGGTAACTCTGCGTCTTCCATTCTTGTGGCGGTCCTCATAAGAGCCAGTTTCATCATAGCGCTTGATGGTTTTTGCGACTGCACTTGAAGAAACTTTCAAAGTAATGATGGACTGTTTCTCTTTGCTTATTTGAGCTGTTCATGCCATAATATGGACTTGGTCTTTTACCAAATAGGGCCATCTTCTGTATACCCCCCTACCTTGTCACAACACAACTGATTGGCTGAAACGCATTAAGAAGGAAAGAAATTCTACAAATTAACTTTTAAGAAGGCACACCTGTTAATTGAAATGCATTCCAGGTGACTACCTCATGAAGCTAGTTGAGAGAATGCCAAGAGTGTGCAAAGCTGTCATCAAGGCAAAGGGTAGCTATTTGAAGAATCTCCAATATAAAATGTTTTGATTTGTTTAACACTTTTTTGGTTTTTGGTTACTACATGATTCCATATGTGTTATTTTATTGTTTTGATGTCTTCACTATTATTCTACAATGTAAAAACTAGTACAAATAAAGAAAAACCCTTGAATGAGTAGGCGTGTCCAAACTTTTGACTGGTAGTGTACATATTGAACTTTGTAATGTATTTTTAAAACTGAATGCAAAATTCATTCAATTCAGTTTCAAATCATGAAATACAAATTTGATTTATGAATTCAATGATACAATTTGTGCATTACAAATAAAAAAATATTTAATCAAATTCAATATACTAATACAAATTCAAAATTATGGAATTCAAATACAATTTCTGTTGGCACTAAAATCGCTCCATATCCTCAGTTAAGGCCTTAAGACGTCAGGTTCTACATCTTTTACCATCTCCCACTAAAGCTAAGCCCTAATGTCTGAATGGGAGTAATCAGTAGGCTGATTTGTGTGTGGCTGAGGTTAGACTGCTCATTAAAGGGATAGTGCGAGATTTTGGCAATGAAGCCCTTTATCTACTTACCCAGAGTCAGATCTCATGGATACCATTTTCATTGGCTCGCGAATCTACCTCTGTAACTTCCTTCATACTGGATGCAGATACATACAAATGGTATTCATGAGTTCATCTGACTCTGGGGAAGTAGATAGATAAAATCTTGCACTATCCCTTTAATAAAACCCTGTCTGATTCATGACCTTTCAGTTCTTTATTGGAGATGTTTGTCTTTGGAATGACCTCCGAGACTATTGGACCTAGTCACTTTAATAGAAGAGATTTAATCTCCGTGATGAATTTGCACATCTAGTCTTTTAGTTTACTTGCAGAGTTTCACTTTTATTCCTATAGCCGTATGTATTGTTGTTGTTGTTGTTGTTATTATAATGTTTTATTATAAGATGTTTCTAATTGACATTTGATCTTCTCTCTGCAGCCGGAGACGACGCGGCAGGAGCCCAGATGGGCGTGGCCGGGCTCGGCGGTGGCCAATCAGACGAGAACGAAGAAGTGATGCGCGCCCTGCTCATCCACGAGAAGAGGAGCGGCGCCGGCCCGGCAGGAGGCGGAGCCGTAGCGGCAGCCAGGGCGCTCATCTCCTCATCAGCAGCCAAGGGCAGCGACTCGGAGAGCGACACCAGCGAATCAGACGAGGACTCTCCCATGGCTCCACCCCCTGTGGCTGCAGCCCAGCGGCGGCCGACGGGTATGGAGATGGAGGAGGAGGATGATGATGAAGAGTTTGAGGAGGTGGGGGAGGATGAGCCCATGGTAATGGTGGGGGGTAGGTCATTCTCCTATCGGGAGGTGAGCCAGAGACCAGAGCTAGTGGAGAAGATGAGCTCTCAAGAGAAAGAGGCCTACATCGAGATGGGACAGAATATCTTCCAGGAAATGTACTTCTAACTGAAAACACAGACACTCACGTACACGGCCTCGCTCTACATGGATCTCTCTTTCTCTCTGGTCTCCTTCCACCCTCTTCTCTTCTTCCCTCCAAGAGGAATAGAAGATGTCACTCTAGTTCCAATCAGTTATTCCGTTCTCTGTTCTAGAGACCAGACTGCCTATTGCCATGACAGTTGTATTAGTGGTGTGTTAGTCTGGCCACTCACTCAGACTCAGCTCAACCAGTCAGTGTTTCCTCTCAGTATTACAGTAGCTGAACGTTACAACACACTACTCTAGAGTTGCTCTATAACCACAGCATGATACCTAGTGAAGACGCACACACTGCCTCCCTTCTCATCCTGTCTGTACCTCCAGTACCCATTACTAAACAGGAACAGAGTTGAAGATCTGGGAACCTGTCCAGAAAACAGTCACATGCAGTCACATGCGCACACACACACACACACACACACACACACACACACACACACACACACACACAGTTGCCAACCAGTTCATTAGACCAGAGTAGACCACACCGCTCCTTTCTCTCCCTGTGCTCCAGCCTTATGGCACTCTCGATCTCCACACTCCGTGAATTCTTCACTGTTCTCAGGGCAGGGCGAGCTGTTCATTATTCATTTCTCCTCTCCTCATCCCGCTCTCTTTTCACTTTACCCACACACACAAGCTCCTTCTTTTTTTTTTTTATCTGACGGGGGGGGGGGGGGGTCTCCCTCCACAGGGAAAGAGACATCTCTGGAGCGAATAATACCGGCTTTGATGTTACCGCGGTAACCCCCGGGGTGGTGTGACCTGCTCAAACGTGGAGGCACCCCCCGAAGTGAGGCCTTTAGCGGTGGCGTGGGGATGACATTTGCAGAGCATGTGGCTTTTTCCCTCCGCAATGTGACCGTATATGACGGTGTCTCTGTCGCTGTGTGAGACACAGTACCACTCCAACCTTCAACTCTCTGCTTCTGATGAATTTTTCACCTTGTCTTTTTTTTTTTACAGTGCAGTATTTACCTGTTAGGGAAGAACTACCATATACTGTGTGAAGAGATTGAGAATAAAATAATGGTAGTTAATGGGGTTTTTTAAGAGAGGGTATTTAATTGTATACTGGCAAAGGGGCCAAGAGTATCTAATTTTCATTTTTTGGCTGAACATGGAATGTTTACTATGTTATACATTTATTTCTCTTTGCTCTTCTGTACTATGGTTTTGGCCTTTGCCCTTTTGAGTTGTACCACCTCCCCACCACTAGGCTCCACCACATCTTTAGTTGAGCCTGTCAATGAAGAGCCATTTGCCTAACGTTTTGAGTTAATTGATTTGTAAAGGTACAGCATTAAAGCAGATGATACTTTTGATGATTTCAGTTAAGTATTTATTTGTCAATATTGGTCCATTGATCTTGCTTGGATACATTCCACTACTTTACAGGTTTGGTTGTCTTCTTATTTATCCTCATAGAGACATTGCTGCTACCTCATCAACCAAGAGTAGTTTCTCTTCAGCTTTAAAAAAAAAAAGTGAGCTTGCTTATGGGGCTGTCGAGAACCTGGCCAAATGGCTTAGGGAGAAGCTGCCAGTTCAGATGTCGACAGTGGAGTTTGGACAAGGTGAAGTGCTACCCCAGAGGACTAGCGAAGAGACACACACACACACACACACACACACACTACGCTTCCCTTGCATCTTCAGGCCAATTAAAATGAGTAGAAAAACAAGCTTAGCTTCTCAGGGGCTGTCTATGTGGGGCTTCCATCATATAGCAGTGTAGCTTTAACCTGTCCTATCCTGTCAGATCTGTGGTCCTGAAGCAGGCCAGGAGAGGAAGCTATTTAAAGACACATTCTCTTAGTCATGCTGCTAATTGCTCATGCTAACTCCTGAAATGCTTTGGTGAAATATGTCTCATCTAGATATACTGTACCCACTAGCTCTAGGCCTGTATTCATAAAGAGTAGGAGTGCTGATCTAGGATCAGTTGACGAAGAGGGGGAACCTAATCCTAGATCAATATTCCTACTCTGAGACGGTTTGTGAATACGGGCCCTGAGCATTATTCACAATCTCCAGCAAGTCTAAGCAACACTGTCTCCACAAACAAGATGTTCCACTCAGCCACAATATATTTATTTATTTATTTAACCTTTATTTAACCAGGCTACTCAATTAAGAACTAATTCTTATTTACAATGCCGGCCTGGCAAAAGGCCTGTGGGGACAGGGGCAGGGATAAAAACAAACAAACCAACCAATGTAAGACAAAACAGACAACACAGACAGAAGACACTGGTAACAGCACAAATACAACAGCAAACAAACAACGTGTGTGAAGGAAAACAACATGCTTCCTTACATAAGGCAACGCAAACTAGTGACAACTAGAAACAACAACCTGTTCACCTGTTTGTCCTTTGAACTGTTAAGATCAACCTTACCTACAGGAATGTATGTATCTAATCTTCTCAGATCTTCAGAAGTGCAGAGTGTGTAGGTCTAGGGATGAATGTATTTTAACGCAACAGTGCCATACCATACTGTTGACTTTTTACATAAACCTACAGTAGAGAGGCCTCTGGGTAAAGAGGGAGATGAGAGGATGGCCACCTGCAGTGCACCGCCTCAAAGGTCAGGATGAAACACGACCCCTAGCTCATTAAACTCACCTGGCCTCCATGCAGCCCTTTGGAAGTCTCAATTAAAACCAACGGCATAGCCATACACAGACCATTGATCTGTCATGGAGGGGGGTGGGGTGGGGAGGGTGGCTGCCGTGGAGGCAGGTGGGTTGAGGGGCAAACCAGCCCCTTACAGGGTCTCTTCTCAGATCTGCCACATCCCAGTGTATTGTGGGGACTGGAGCTGGGGGTCCCTGTTGGTGCAGTAGAGAGGGAATTATTGAACAGGTAAGGGATTAAGGTTGGCACCCCTGGCTGACTGGGGAGGAAGCTCATGGGGTTGTGGGGGGGGGGGGGGTTAGAGTGTCTCTGGTGTGGTTCGTAATGATTGATGCTCAGGATGGATGCCAGGGGAGATTACATGCAGGTTGACGTTTATAGTCATGAGTCTTGTCCTGGAGGCAGAACTGAGTGATTTCCCGTTAGGGCTATATTGTTAAATAATAAATAGCTTTTTGGCCTTAATTTAAGGTTAGGGTTAGGCATTAGGGTTAGCAGTGTGGTTAGGTTTAAAATCAGATTTTATGACTCTGTGGCTGTGCCAGCTAGTGACCACTCCAGAACAAGATTAATGACGAATAACGCTAACCTGCAGATTACATAGATACAGTGGGAGAAAAAAATTTAGTCAGCCACCAATTGTGCAAGTTCTCCCACTTAAAAAGATGAGAGAGGTCTGTAATTTTCATCATAGGTACACGTCAACTATGACAGACAAATTGAGAAAAAATAATCCAGAAAATCACATTGTAGGATTTTTAATGAATTTATTTGCAAATTATGGTGGAAAATAAGTATTTGGTCACCTACAAACAAGCAAGATTTCTGGCTCTCACAGACCTGTAACTTCTTCTTTAAGAGGCTCCTCTGTCCTCCACTTGTTACCTGTATTAATGGCACCTGTTTGAACTTGTTATCAGTATAAAAGACACCTGTCCACAACCTCAAACAGTCACACTCCAAACTCCACTATGGCCAAGACCAAAGAGCTGTCAAAGGACACCAGAAACAAAATTGTAGACCTGCACCAGGCTGGGAAGACTGAATCTGCAATAGGTAAGCAGCTTAGTTTGAAGAAATCAACTGTGGGAGCAATTATTAGGAAATGGAAGACATACAAGACCACTGATAATCTCCCTCGATCTGGGGCTCCACGCAAGATCTCACCCCGTGGGGTCAAAATGATCACAAGAACGGTGAGCAAAAATCCCAGAACCATATGGTCATATGGTCAGATGAAACCAAAAAAAAAAAAAACTCAACTCGTCGTGTTTGGAGGACAAAGAATGCTGAGTTGCATCCAAAGAACACCATACCTACTGTGAAGCATGGGGGTGGAAACATCATGCTTTGGGGCTGTTTTTCTGCAAAGGGAACAGGACGACTGATCCGTGTAAAGGGAAGAATGAATGGGGCCATGTATCGTGAGATTTTGAGTGAAAACCTCCTTCCATCAGCAAGGGCATTGAAGATGAAACGTGGCTGGGTCTTTCAGCATGACAATGATCCCAAACACACCGCCCGGGCAACGAAGGAGTGGCTTCGTAAGAAGCATTTCAAGGTCCTGGAGTGGCCTAGCCAGTCTCCAGATCTCAACCCCATAGAAAATCTTTGGAGGGAGTTGAAAGTCTGTGTTGCCCAGCGACAGCCCCAAAACATCACTGCTCTAGAGGAGATCTGCATGGAGGAATGGGCCAAAATACCAGCAACAGTGTGTGAAAACCTTGTGAAGACTTACAGAAAACGTTTGACCTGTGTCATTGCCAACAAAGGGTATATAACAAAGTATTGAGAAACTTTTGTTATTGACCAAATACTTATTTTCCACCATAATTTTCAAATAAATTCATTAAAAATCCTACAATGTGATTTTCTGGATTTTTTCTTCTCATTTTGTCTGTCAAAGTTGACGTGTACCTATGATGAAAATTACAGACCTCTCTCATCTTTTTAAGTGGGAGAACTTGCACAATTGGTGGCTGACTAAATACTTTTTTCCCCCACTGTTGTCATTTATCTGATAAACGGGTCTGGAAGAAGATTAATGACCTACCCTGTCTGTGCCTGTCTGTCTGTCTGTCTGTGCATGCCTAACTGTCTGCCTCCTTGCCCTCCATCTTCTCCTTATAGCTCGTCAGCCTGGTAAGTACTGTGGACTGGTAAGATCTAACAGTGTCTCAACCCCATGGGACGCTGAAGATTGGTTGCACTGCAGATCGGCTTGTCAGTCAGTTAGTGGAGATTGAATTAGTCAATTCTCAAGTACTGAGCCAAGATGCAATAGTGGTTTGTTTATGTGCTTTGCACTGTCACAAAACGTTC